CGGGGGGTGTTTCGGCGGCGCGGCGCTGGGGGGAGTGGGGGATTCGGCGGTGCGGCCCGGCACTCTGGGGGTTTGGGTGGCGCGGCGCGGTGCTCCGGGGGTTTGGCCGGCCCGGCGAGGCGGGGCACTTGGGGGTTTGGGCGGCCCGGCGAGGCGCTCGGAGGGGATGGGGGTTTGGGCGGCCCGGTGCGGCGCGCGGGGGGGGGGCGGGGGTTTGGGCGGCGCGGCGTTCTGGGGGTTTCGGCGGCGTGGCGTTCTGGGGGTTTCGGCGGCCCGGCGCGGCGCTCGGGAGGGTTTGGCAGGGCAGTGATCTTCTTTTTTGCCTGGGGCGGCAAAAAAGTTAGAGCCGGCCCTGCACAGAAGCTACAGTTTTATTTGTATTGCAGCTCTCTGGCCATATTAGAAATCAGAACAAAACAAATGTAAGGTGAGGGTTTTGTGCTTGACAATTTTGATAGCAACTATTTTAATCTTCAAATACTCGTTCACAATGGGTGTTAGTAGGCTAATAAGATGAAGACTACCTGTGGCTGTTAGAGGTTTAAAAGTAGAGCTAGTTGAAATTTTTCCGATGAAATAAAATTTATCGTGAAAATTGTCTGCTTTTGCCTGAAAATTCTAATATTTTGTCAAAAAAACGTATCTATTCTGGATGAAATTTCACCAAAACATCAATTTTTTAGTGGAAAATTTTGACAAAAATGAAAAATAATTAACTGTGTGTGTGGGGGGGGGAGAGACTATTTTCCATCCAGCTCAGTTTAAAATCCCTAGTTTTTTAAAGGTTGTCAAATTTTAAAGGGGGGAACACCCAAACTGTAAATTGAAGCTGTTGAAAGAGAGACAATAACACAACATTTTTGAGTAATGAGTTCCTACAATTCTGGCTAAGTCTGAACTTCCATTTTTTCCTCCCATTCCATTGGCTTTGTCTGTAATGGTTTAACACTGGATACACACCACTGTTAGCCAAATCAATAAGTTCAAAGTAGTGTTTTAAGCAGGACGTTGCCTTGTATATGGGCCTTGTCCATGGTGGATTTAGATCCTTGCTGGAATAAACTTGCTCCTGACGATAGACTGATGGCTTATTCTTAGCAATTTAAAGTTTTAAAACCAGCAGCCTTTCCTCATTAACACACCCCGCTCCTTTCATCCTGGCGCTGAATCACTGATCTCGCATGCGTCTGACGAAGAGGGTATTCACCCACGAAAGCTTATGCTCCAATACTTCCGTTAGTCTATAAGGTGCCACAGGACTCTTTGTCACTGATCTCACAGGGTACGTCTACACTGCAAAACCAAACCAAACCAAACCACGGCCGCGAGTCAGACCTCGGGCTTGTGTTACGGGGCTGAAAATAGCAGTGTTGGTGTTCCTGCTTGGCCTGGAGCCTGGCCTGTGAAACCCGGCGAGGCGGGTGGGTCTTGTAGCCCGGGCTCCCGCCTCAGTGGGAATACCTACACTGCTATTTTCAGCCCCGTAGTGCGAGCTGGAGTCAGTTGACTGGGCTCCGAGACTCACTTCCAGGGGGTTGTTATTTTTCCAGTGTAGACGTAGCCCGTGTCTCTCCACCCCAGCCAGTGCTGCTCCGTGTGCTGGATGTAAGTGGATAGATATGGTGCGAGCGGGTCCCCTGGCCGAGGGGCAGGAGGCTGGCAGCGGGAGGTTCCGCGGCCGAGGGGAATGGCAGTTGGAAGTGGGCAGTTGGCGGGAGGCTGAAGACAACGCCCAGAGCGGCGGGGTCCCCCTGCGCTGCGGACGAGGGGCCAGGCAGCGATGAGGGAGCAGAGAGATGAGCTTGGGAGGGACAGGGTCTGGGGAGCACGGGGTGGGAAATGAGCTGAAGAGAGAGAAGCAAGGCTTAGCCTGAGGCAAAATAGGGAGAGAGCCTGGAACGCCCCACAACAGAGAGGTCAATGTGCTGCTCCTGGCTCTGAGATGGGGGTACAGGGAGGGGGGATGGAGGGTGAAGGGAAGGAAGGAGGAAGGGGTTGGGTGTGTGGGGATGTGGAGAAGGAGGGGGGATGGGATGGGGTGAGGTGTGGGGGGCTGTGGGGAAGGAGAGGGGGTGGGGTAATGGGGTGCGGGGAAGGAAGGGGGATGGGTTGGGATGTGGGGGGCTGTGGGGAAGGAGGGGGATGGGATGTGAGGGAGTTTGGGGAAGGAGTGAAGATGGGGTGGAGGTGGGGTGTGGGGGGCTGTGGGGAATGGGGTGCAGGGAAGGATGAGGTGGGGGAAGGAAGGGGGATGGGGTGTGAGGGAGTTTGGGAAAGGAAGGGGTGGGGTGCAGTGTGGGGGGATGGGGTGCAGGGAAGGAGCAAGGGTGGGGGGGGGGATGTACGGGGGAGTGCGGGGAAGGAGCAAGAATGGGAAGGTGCAGGGTTTGAATCCCCACCTGCTTCGTCTTTGTCTGACATCGCTGGGAGTTAAACCACCAGGGGATTGGGCCCCTAGGGTCTGCCCCAGCAGGCCACATGAGCCAGCCTCATGCAATGGGCTGACCTTTGCTTTGCTGCTCAGCCTGGGGCCCACTTCTCCCACCAGTAGCTCCCGCCCGTGTCAATGGAGGCTGCTCAGATCCTGCAGCGACAGGAGACCAGGGTGTGGGGTGAGGGGAATGGATCCTACCGGCCGCGTGGCTGGACCTTGTAGAGCTCCTCCTGGCAGGAAGGGAGCGGGCACTAGGCCTTGCGAAACGTCCCCACTCCCACAGCCTGCAAACCAAGCATGCAGGCACGTCAATGCACTTGCTATAGCCGGGACCTAGACCCTCTGGGAAATCAGGGCCTTAAAACGAGACCCCTTGAGAAGCACCAACAACCAGCACTTCCATTTTCTGACCCTCCTTTAGCTCCAGCGGTAGTGGAGGCTGATCGTGGTTGGTATTCGAATGGCTCAGAAGTGGCCCCTCCTTACTTGCCCTGTCGATTTTAGGGCGCTCTAGCAGCCGGCGAGGCCCGTCTCACTATGATCCCCGAGAAGATGCGGCAGCTGCTGCCGGAGGTGGAGCTGGATCCCAGCGTTATCTCCGTCCTGCTCTGCAGCTCCACCGTGGCCTTCCTGGTGCTCAAGTGGATAGTGAAGAAGCTGGTGGAGCAGAGGATGCGGGAGGCAAGGAGGAACCGAGTGCGCGCCCTGGGACAGATGGAAGAAGCTGTCCAGCAGTTCAAACAAGAGGTGACGCGCCCGGGTATTCCTCTCGTCCTCAGAAAGGATCATGCACGCTCATCTCATTAACAGTCTCAAATAAATGTGTCATGGGTCCAGCTGCAAAAAGAACTCCCCTCAGAGCTGGGAGAATGAATGATCCCTGAAGTCTTGTGACTTCTGCCCGAAAGTTTCCTTTATAGTCTCTGTATACAGGGGTCTTAGCTGTCAACCTCACCCCACAGCACACAGACCTGTCTCCCAATGTGAGATCTGCTTTGTCCCTGATCATCCAGGACCCCAGGAGGGCTCCAAGCTTGTTAGCCCCACTCACGAAATAAGGAACCGCTCAGCTTAAGGGCAACAGGATCAGACCCTAAATTATTTGCAAGTCTCCTACATAACCCCAGACTGTTTAGCTGAGTTGCAACCTGGTATGTCAGAATCAGTGAACTCATTTGAACGTTGTCTGAGATACAGCCCCATCCTCTGTTTACGCAGTGACCTACCACGTGGTGAGGCCCTGAGTTAATTTTTTTGTCATATGTGTTGCATGAAATTCAGCTTTACCGTGCATCCTGCCGGTAGCAGATGGCACTGAATTTGATGTAATGCATTGTGTCATAGACCAGACTGCATGTCAAGTTAACAGTTCGGAGCTACGCTGAGGACTGCTATAAATAATGTAGCAGCAGGAGATCCTTAGGATTGAGTCCAGACCACATTCAGCATGGAGACTTGTAAATGATCGTCTATGTGTCATATACCCTATACTGCATTGATGTAAAAACTGATTTTGTTTGTGTTTTCAGCCAAATTTCCCTGGACAATGTTGGGGAGGGGGGGAAAAGCAGCTGTTTGCTCAGAAATTAGAACCGTTTGGCAGTGAAAACAGTAAATCTTGCAGATTATTATTATTATTTTTGGCTGGGGTGGAATTTGACCATCTTTGCAATGAAATGCAACTGTCTTGAATTCACAGGTCTTGAGATGTCGATGGGAATCATTCACCCAGGTCTTGCAAACCCAGAGACAAGATAGGGAGAAAAGATGACCCCGTAACTGTGGGGCAATTCTTTGCGAGAGCTGGTCAGAAAACAGGGGGAAATATTTATGGGGGAAAACAACTGATTGAAAGTTTTCACCTGATTTTTTTAATTATACACACAAGAGTTTCCAACCAGCTCTGTGCTCTACACAATAATTGCCATGTATCTACTACACCTTGCAGAACCCAGAGGTACAGGCCAGTCTCATCCTCTCTCTGCCGCTTGTTGAGCTGGTCAAGAAACTGAAGGAAGGTTCCCTGTCACCAGAGAGCGTCCTCTACACGTACATGGACAAGGTGAGGAAGTCATTCCTTCTTCAAGACAGCAAGGATGTGGTTAAAGCACTGGATTGGGACTCAGGTGATCTGGCTTCAATTGTGGACTCTGACACACACCTCCCTGTGTGACCTTGAGCAAGTGAATTAATCTGCCTTGATCTCAGCTAACCAACTGTAAAGTGGGGATTATAACGCTCCCTTTAACTTGCTATTTGTAAGCTCTTCCAGACAGGGACTGATGCATTATGTGTCTGAACAGCGCCTAGCACAATGGGTGGCCCTGATTTTGGTTGGGTCCTCCAGGCCAACTCTAACAGATACAGTAATAATAACTGGTGCTAGATTTAGGATAAACTGGGATGGTTTGCTTAAAATTTCTCTTTGAAGTAAGTTATCAGAGTTGCTTAGATCTAGGGCTGGCCCTCTGCACTAGGGCAAATTTCCCCCATAGAGTTGTTAGGAGTTTTTCCTGGAGCAATGCCACTTAGGGCTTTTCTGTCTACACACGAAAGTTGTTCCTGATTAGGTCCCTGGGTGGAAATGTTTATTGCGGAGAGATAATGTCTTGTTCTGTGGTGTATTGAAAACTGTGAAAATAGTGATCTATCACTTTAAGTTCTCAGGTTTTCCTCATCCTCCTTGCACACCAGGGGGCTCTGTAGGGAAGCATAAGACCTGCCTAGCACGCAGCAGCAGTCAGTCTGCAGCTAGCCAGCTAGAGTAAGGTGGGGTGAGTTGTGCCTTTTTATTTTAGGGAGCAGCCTGTTTTGTCTCTCTGGTTTTTTTTTTTTTTTTTTTTTGCATTCTTGTGTGTGTGTGTTATGGGTCTGAATTCTGAGAAGTAAAGTTGTGTTACATTGTAACCTTGCAGCAAAAGTATTTTATGTTTTTTTTTAATCTAACTCCTCTGTTTCTATGCCATGAAACACAATAAGGCATTCTTGTTTCAGAATAAGTGTGTCCACACATGGAGTTAATCAGGAATAGCTATTGCACTTTAACTTCACACCCTACCTTAATCGGAAACAACTTTCAAGTGTAGACCTGGGTACAAGGTTTTGCTTTTCTTCCTTAGTTATAAAGCATAAACTCAGATGCAGGGTGAATTAAAGGTCTAAAGAGGTGAATGGCCTTTTCTTTCCCTCCTCTGTTTCCTCGGCAAGGCCTTAGAAGTGAACCAGGACGTGAACTGTGTGACGGATTTTATTCAGGAGTGTGTGCACCTGCTCCAGGAAGTGAGGACACAAAAGGAGAAAGGCTTGTTGTATGGAGTTCCCGTCAGTATCAAGGATCCCATTGGATATGAGGTGCTTCTGTATTTCCTTTTTTTTAAAAGAAGCATGTAATGTTGAGATAAGGGAGTGCAATACGTTGGGGTTGGTAATAAAATACACGGACCACTGTATTGACAGGTATAAAGAGGAATTGATACCGTAAAAGTGCTAGTTGGTGTGTCTGTGCACCACTGCCCTCTGCTGGATAGAAGTGGAACTGTCCATATGTGTCAAAAGCTCTATACTGCGGACAGTGAACAGAGATTCTCCTTTAGTTCAACTGATAGGGGGCTGTGCTTTTGGAGCAGGGGGTCTGAGTTCTATCCCTATTGATGCCATGAAGTTCCAGGTGGCTGTGGATTCATTACAGTGTCATAAACTTAATTAAAAGTATTGGCTCAGCCCTGAAATATCGGTGAGCTTGATTATGGCTCTGCCATCAGAGTGTGAGTGCAATGAGGCTGCACTGAAACAGCATCATGGCCAGGTTGGCAGAAAGATCCCTGTGATCTACGGAGTCAGCTCCCTTGAGGGGTTTGGAGATATCAAGGGGGTGGCTTGCAGAGGGCTGCTGGGGCAAAAGGGGGTGTCAGACTGTAAGAAGGTGTCTCATGGCTGGGACTGAAGAGCATTCAGGATATGGGGGGGAAATCGCTCAGCAATATGACCCCCAGGAGAGAGAGGAGGGCCTTCAATGGAGCTGCCAGCCCTTGTATTATCATTAGTTGCCATGTACCAGAGGACACTGGGAGGCAGCTGCCTGTCCGTTTCCACCCCTCACGTTAGGGCTCAGAGGTTTCATCCGTGGTGACCATGGCGTCAGTCCCGTGTATCTAACATGCTCTATGTCTGCCCCCATTCCAAGGGTCACGTCTCCACCTGTGGCTTGGGACAGTACCTCGGCTACCCGGAGCAAGAGGACAGCGTCTTAGTGAAGGTGCTGAAGAAGCAGGGGGCCATTCCGTTTGTGAAAACCAACATCTCCCAGTGCTTGATCAAGTAATTGGCCGGTTCTCCTTGTGACAAGGATTGCTACTTTTCCGTACCCCCTGCCCCGGCGATCAGTGTGGGAGGGTGGAAAGACAGCCATTGACTTGGGTAGCCTTCAAATCTGGCCCTCAGTGCTTAGTGAGAGAGAGAAACACCAGAGGCCAGACTGTCATCGCCTTGCCTGTGTGACTAATCATGTTGGCTCAGATCCAAAGGTATTTAGGCACCTAACGTCAGTCGAAATCAATGGGAGTTAGGCGCCTAATAATCTCTGAGGACCTGGGCCATTAGCTTTACCGGGATTACTCCCAGCAGCAAGGCGGTCCCAACTGGACCGTGACGATTCAAGATCCAGTGGCAGTTAATGTAGCCCTTCTCTCTGTGCTCAGTGTAGGGTGCTCCCCACCCCACCAGAGAGGGCCTTCCCAGCGCTGCTGGGGACCCTGATGGAAAGGGGTGAGCGAGAGCCACGCAGCTCTGAGTCACTCTGTGCACTTGGGGCGGCTCAGGTCCTGCTCCCCCTTCTGCGTTTACCTCAGAAGTGCTCACACAGGGCAGCAGCAAGGGCGCCGGCAGCTCCCACTGGGAGGCAGTTTCCATGCCGTCCTCTTGCTTTTCCGTCAGCCGCAATAGTCCAGGCACCTATGCGGGAGAAATATGCCGAGTCTACTGCTCTCCAATAAATAAGGCCCTACCAATTTCACCGCCGTGATAAACGTGCCACGGACCGTGAAATAAGTCCTTCCCAATGAAATCCGATCTCCCCCGTGCTGCTGGGAGTGCCCCAGCTGGGGGCTCGTAGCTGCTAGTCCGGGTGAGCTGGGGTGGGACATGACTTGTCCTTCCCCTGCACTACTGCTCTCGGTGGGGAGATCAGACCCACCTCCAGAGACAGTGCAGAAGTGAGGGTGGTACACGCTCACTTCTGTGCTGCAGCAACCCCGGAGCTGGGCTCGGGGCGCCCCCAAATTGTCCAGAGCTCCTGGGCACAGTTAATCCACCACCGGCCAAGACTAGCAGCTAGGAGACCCTGGCTGCGGCACTCCCAGCAGCAAGGGGGAGATCAGACCCACCTTCACCTCCGGGAACCTCCTCCAGCTGCAGGAAGCTCCGGGGCTGCAAGAAATGAGGATGGCAATCCTGTGACCCTCTACAACAGCTTTGCAACCCCCCTTTTGGGTCGGTTACAACACTGTGACATTTCAGATGTAAACATCTGAAAACGTGAAATTGACTAATTTTTCAAATCCTATGGCAGCGAAATTGACCAGAATGGACCATGAATTTGGTAGGGCCCTACCAGTAAAGGACTCTATTGTAGGTGAATCAGGGGCATCATGGAGACCCAACCTTCTACCCCCCCCTCCTCCGCCCGCCGTTATTCTCCAGTTGTGAGCTGTGTTGTGCCTTATTCACCAGCAGCGAGCGGCCTATGCTTGTCCCCTTTATTGAGATCACTGTTGAAGCAGGAGTCAGCACATTTGGTCTTGGCTGATCTGCTGGGCTCTGTTGCCTGTTGGCTTCACTGGTCTTTTGAGTGGAGATTTGGGTGCCATAATAAGGTGAGGTGAGGTGTCCCGGTAAGGTGAAAGGTTAAGCAGGCCTCCGCGTCCTTCAGCACCGTGCAAGGGAATGTGATGTAGGGAACTCAGCTCACTTCCATTAACGGACTGCTGCTTTCCGTCTCACTCAGCTATGACTGCAGCAACTTGATCTTCGGCCAGACGGTGAATCCGCTGAACCACCAGAAAAGCCCCGGCGGCTCCTCCGGAGGGGAGGGGGCGCTGATCGCCGGAGGAGGGTCCGTCCTGGGCTTTGGGACAGATATAGGTGGGAGCATCCGCCTGCCGTCCAGCTTCTGCGGGCTGTGCGGGCTCAAGCCGACGGGCAACAGGCTGAGGTAGGTGCTGAGCCTGCCCAAGGGCTGCGTCGGTTTCTGCAGCACTGACAAAGGATTGATTGTTTGTTGATTTCTCCAGAGCCCCTCACAGGTAACAAGGAGCTTCCGTGGCACAGCATGTGCTGAGACCAAGTACCCACCACCCTGAATCGCTGCCACCGGGGGTGAAAACCCATTGCCCAAAGCCAGCCTGGTCCCCGGCCTTGTGAATCAAATCCAAGCCCACTGAAACCCCAGCCCCCTCTCTCTGAGTATCATCACAGATCTTGAAAGGCTGTGTCCAAATGCCATTGAAATCATTGGGAAGACTCCAAGTGATCTCAGTGAGCTTTGGATTGGGGCCTGCATGGACAGGTCTTGTTTTAAACTCCCTGGGGCTTAATTCCGCCCTGCAGGGTATGAGTAACTGCCAGTGGCTTCATTTGGGACTCAGATGTGTATCCTGCGGTGGAGAATAGGACCCTTGCAGATTAGGGGGAGGGGCTAGCGCTGAGCTCCTCCCCTTCCGTTCTCAGTGGTTACCTCATTGAGAGGGGCACCGTCTATTTCCAGATTGTGCAGAAAGGGGAATGGCCTTTCCTCATGAAAGGTGATCCAGTGAGCAGTGAAATCCATGGGAGCCTTTCCCTTGATTTCAGTAGGTGCTGGGTCAGCTGCAAGCTGATTCATCTCCCACCTGGGCGGGTTTCTCCCTTATCACTAAACCTGGCAGTTGATCTGTTGACCGATCTTAAATCTACTTCCCTTGCCTGTCCCCTCCGCCCCCTTCAAATGCCTCCTATTGTTATCCACAGTATTTATGTGTTTGTTTATTTCTATCTCCCACGGTCCTTCCGGAGTTAGCGGCCCTGTCAGTTACGTCCAAACAGGTGAGCCATTTCTTCAACAACCTTTTCGGTCTGAACCTCTGGCAACAGATATTAACCACGGTGAGGGTCTCGGAGAGGAACTAGACTGGGACACAGGTGTTTTGGGTTCCATCCCTGGGTGACTTTGGGCAGGACACTTCACCTCTCTGTGTCCCAGTTCCCCATCTGTAAAGTGGAGGTAATAACCCTTCCTTTGTCTCGTGCCTTCTTAGTCCCTGCCCCAAAGAGTTTGCAGTCTGTCTTGTACAAAGCCGAGCTCTGCCTGAGGCCTCTGGGTTCTACTGTAATACAAAGAAATACTAGTTATAGTGGAAACTGTCCTACCGCGATGGTGAGCCACTCAGGTGGATATGAAATCTGGGAAATGCTCATTTACATGCAAGTTTCAGCCAAAGGTGGGATATAGTGACTGGGAATCGGATCCACCAAAACTTCTGCTGTCCCCAGGAATAGCCTCTCTTCCCATCCATGTGCCTTAGCCCTTCAAGAAGGGCATTCTCTTCCCATACACTCTCTTTTCTGCCCCCTGACCCATGGATTTCTTGCTGTGTCCACTCTGGGACAGACTCAGTGGGTCAATTTCTCCAGTCCTCACTCAGGCAGACATGTTTTGTGACAGCCCCTTATTAGACCGAAGAAAGCCCTTTATTCATGCCGGGCTAACTACTGATAGCTCTGCCTTCTGGGACCTTGAACTTGGACCTTATCCACATTTGGGGTGGGGGGAAAAAGGAAGTGCTTTTGTGTGTGTGTGTGTGTGTGTGTGTGTGTGTGTAGTTCCATCAGAGATGGTATATGGGCAGAGTGCAGATGAGGAGGTCAAACTTAGAAATAAATGGAGTTTCTTATTCCATGAGCTACACAGTTCATTCTAGATCTTCAGAATAAAAGAGTTTATCTCTCTATTATCACAACTGTAGACAGATATGGAGACCGTTGTGTATGCTACAAGCATACCTGGCCTTGAGACATCTGGCTACCTTGGGTGAAGCACAAACATTTGGCTTAGTGGTTAGCTACATGTGTGTTCTTTTACTCCAGTTACAGGAATGGTTGGGCCAATGGCGAGGGACGTGGATAGCCTGGCTCTGTGCATGAGAGCGCTCCTGTGTGACGACATGTTCCGCCTGGACCCCACCGTGCCACCCCTGCCCTTCAACGAGGAGGTAGGTCACTGAACGTTAGATGGTCACACTGGTTAGGCTCCTTCTTTTGCTGAAATGTACATTGTGGTCTAAAAAGCCGTGATGATGTTGGCTTAGCTGGCCGACGTCTTCACATCCCACTACCTGGTATCCTTGGGGTCAGAGTGTGGGAGGACACCCTCTGGGGTCCCTCTGACATGGGGAGGCCCTGGAATGTGTGGGGCTTGAAGGAAGCTGTTGGCTAGAACCTCGGAGACAGAGCGAATAACAGAGCTGACCACCCATGATGGAATCACAGCCACAGGGCTTGTTGGGAGAGAGAGGCCATTGGGGACAGGGCTGGGGGCACAATCTTTGAGCTGGGAGATGGGAGGGAGCAGAATCAGGACCTCATAGGATTGGGCTGAGGGTGGAGGTTTGCCCATCATTAGTCCCAGCTGGGAAGAGTCTGGTTGATAGTTGTTTAATCCCATTATTCCCACAGTTCTAGAGACGTTAAGGGCAGATATGTCTCCTTTCAGGTGTACTCCGGTTCCACTCCCCTTCGGATTGGGTACTACGACACAGACGGCTATTTCCTGCTACCTCCTTGCATGAGACGGGCTGTGCATGAAACCAGGACGTTGCTGCAGGAGGCTGGACACATGGTACGTTCAGTGGCACCAACCTGTTTGTTCATAGCCAGCTTCATTCACATGCTCGATCTAACTACATGAATCAAAGCGATAAGGAGAAGCAATCTGACTGACTGCAAGGTAGAGGTTAATTAACCCTCTGAAGCCTACCAGGTCTCATGCCAGATAGCAACAGAGAACCATATATTTGTACCTAGTTATTACACTACCTTGAGTGTGACTGGGGTGAAACATATAATGATTAAAATGCCTTTCACAAATACAGGAGGATCAGCTAACGAGAAGATCTTGCAACTAGAGATAGATGGGAACTGGAATTTTTGTTCCATGGGAAATTCCAACATTTCAGAAAAATATTTTGTCCCGAATCAGAATGAAAAACCAAAATTTCAACATCTCCCATGAAACAAAACTCTTGAAAACTTTGCTTCAGCTCAACTGGTGTTTTGTTTAATTTTCAATTTCGGTTTCGTTTCCATTTTGATATTTTTTTTTTTTTTTAAATACACTTCAGCATTATTGAAATGCTTCATTTTGATATTTTTAAAAGCAAAATTTGGTTGAAATCAGCATGTTCCTGTGGAATTTCAGTTGCGATAAAACGGCCTTTTCCGATGGAAAAAGACATCTTCAGTCTGCTCTAAATGCTCTCCTTTCCATTCAGAGGTAGCACTCAGCCTGCCTCTTGCACATTAGTATTTAAGACTCTGTCTAGGTATTTCTACTGTACTCATATCTGTGTCTTGTAGTCTCTCTATCCCATGTAAATTATTCATCCAGTTTCAGACAACCAGATGAGTTGTTCTGGGGGACAGACAGACACTCTCGGTAATTCTTCTGTGTTAACTGGCTCCACTAAAGTCTGTAGTATCTTTTGCTCTTAATTTTAAAAACAAAAACAAACACCGTATTTATGTAGGACCTGTGGGCCAGGTGAAGTAAACTGGTGACCTCCGTGGAGCTACGCTGGTTTTATTTTCACCAGCAAAGGACCTGATCCTATGTGTTTTGGTGTTGCTTTTACCCTTTGGCAAAATGGTTTTAGTGGCTAAGAAACTGGGAGTGCAGATACTTTGGTTCTAGTCCTGACTCTCTGTGGACTTCCCATGTGACTTCGGGCAAATCACTTATGTTTTTTGGGCCTCGGCTGTAAAAAGAGGCTAATCATACCTTTAGAGGGTGCTTTTGGATCTTTTGTAGAAGATGCTGTACAGTATGACTGTATGGTATTATGTTTAGTAAGTCAATGTCAAAGGAAAAGGATAAATTGAATAAAAGAAAACAGGAAAAGCTTTCTCCCCTCTCCTCTCAACTTTCTTTTAAAATCTAAGTCAGGGATCGGCAACCTTTCAGACGTGGTGTGCCGAGTCTTCATTTATTCACTCTGATTTAAGGTTTCGCGTGCCAGTAATACATTTTAACGTTTTTAGAAGGTCTCTTTCTATAAGTCTATAATATAGAACTAAACTATTGTATGTAAAGTAAATAAGGTTTTTAAAATGTTTAAGAAGCTTCATTTAAAATTAAATTAAAATGCAGAGGCCCCCGGACCGGTGGCCAGGACCTGGGCAGTGTGAGTGCCACTGAAAATCAGCTCGCGTGCCGCCTTTGGCACGCATGCCATAGGTTGCCTACCCCGATCTAAGTATATTTACATTCATATTATGCAGGAACTCTTCAAAAAAAACCCCACTACCACTGATGAGCGTTATTACACTCCTTGGTATGTTCATGCCACTCAGTCTCCAGCAAATGAGCCTAGGCAGGAGTTAAATGATGATAATATTATGGGCTACTATGCAGCTTGCACGCTCAGAAGAGTCCCGGGTGCAGATGGGTGTTGAGCGAGAGTCCTGTTTATCCTGCAGATCTTGGCTATATGGAGGTAGGATGGTCTTGTGAAGAAAGCACTGCAGTGACACTCCGGAGATCTGGGTTTAATTCCTGGCTCTGCCAGGCAAATCACCTGATCTCTTCCTTCCCCGCATTAGTTTGTAGTAATGAGTGTAGTTTGATTGTAAGGGCAAGGGCTGCATTGCAACAGGATTGGGTTGCCTAAATCTCTTAGGACCTTTTAGATTGCAAGTCCTTTGGGGCAGGGACTGGCTCTTACCAAGTGTACGTACAGCGCCGAGCACAGCGGAGCGCCGATTTCAGGTAGGGCCTCTGGATTCTACCAGAATATAAGTAATCACAATGAAGTATTGTCCCCTGGTTTTTGAACCACCTCGTCTTTCACCCAGCTGATCCCGTTCATCCCCCCGCGGATCGACTACGTCATGAACGAGCTCTTCATGAAGGGTCTCTTTGCCGATGGCGGCGCTGCTTTACTTGAGAAATTGTAAGTGTGACCGAGGCCGGCCATTCGCAGAGGGGTGGGTGTAACTAGCGACAGCAGGCTGGGTCTCCACAATGAAGTGAAGGAGCTACAGGGACACAGGATCATTGCCTAGCAGTGCTGTGGGCCTGACTGCACTGTCTTCCGTGGAGTCGTGCCTGCTTACAGCCATGGTGAACTTGGACCGGGTCTGCTATGGAGGGGCTGTCCTGATAGGCCGCTGGAGCTAAGCCCCACCAATGAGGCAGTGCTTAATTTGTAATGATAGAGTTGCCAGGGCTCAAGCAAGTTTTTTACACTCGTAACTGATGCAGCAGGCCTGGAGGTGCCGGAGCTCTGAGCCGCCAGGCCCGGAGGTGCCGGAGCTCTGAGCCGCCAGGCCCGGAGGTGCCGGGGCTAGGAACTGCCAGGCCCGGAGGTGCCGGGGCTAGGAACTGCCAGGCCTGGAGGTGCCGGGGCTAGGAACTGCCAGGCCCGGAGGTGCCGGGGCTCTGAGCGGCCAGGCCCGGAGGTGGGGCTTGTGCTCAAACCGGAGTCAGATCCTGGGCTTAGTGTGCAGTGTAGACACACTCTTAGACTGCCAGTGGCAGAGGAAGGAAGCACTGAACTGGGAATACGGCCTTCAGCTGGGCTATTGGGGTTCAGCCACAGAGCATGGGGCCGAATCTCATTTCCCCTGCTGCTCGAGCCCCACCTCTTGTTCTGGGCACCAGCTGCCACTGGCCTGGTACCTCTAGGCCAGTTCCTGTTGGGCATACCCAGGCATTTATCCAGGCAAGGGGCTAGCCCATAAGCCAGCTTGTTCCACTGAGTGATGCCATGAAGAAGAGTAACATGATAACCCAGGCTAGGAGGCAGGCTTTTCCAGCCTCTTGCTTTATAACAGGGGAGAGGTTATTTCTTGCACCTTATGCAGTGGCTAGCGCACAGGACTGCAAATCAGCTGATCTGGTGACTGCCTCTTTGGGGGAGCGTGGCCTGGTCTCCAGGGGATCTCTGTCTTAGATTTATTTGTTTGCAAAGAACGTTGATCTCCTTGGCCGAAAGGGGCTAGCTGAGGTCCGTATTATGTAATGAATGTCAGACATCGTCTGGCTGGGAATCAGCACTGGGTAGGCCCAGCACAGCTGGCTCATCCTGACTACCTCCTTTCTGTCTCCCTTCCCAGTGAACTGGACACTGTGGATCCCAACTCCTGCTCCCAGATCAATTGCTACAGACTCCCCTTTCTCCTGAAGAAGATTCTGGCTTTCCTCACCAAACCGCTGGTAAGTTACATCTTCTTCCCTTCAGTGCCGGAGAGAGGGCACGTTTCACACTCACAGCTGGCTCGGGGGGGGACTTAGGCCCCGATCCTCAAAAGGGCTAGGCACCTAATTCTCATTGACATCAATGGGAGACAGGCATCTAAATTCCTTTGAGGTCTGGTTCTGCTCCCACTCCCACCAGCTCTCTACCAGTGCAACTCCACTGGCTTCAATGCAGTTACTCCTGATTTACACAGGGCGAGTGAAAAGCAAGCAGGCCCCCAGAATATAACCATCTCCTTCTGGGTAACACGTAGTGTATTGACACAGTTTGGGATAGTTGCTCGGGGAAAGGGTCAACATGGTAACCCGGCTTAGAGCCCAGCTTGTAACCTTACATCCCGAGTTAGCTCACTGCAGCGTTAGTCCTGAATATCAGTGTGAACCACGAACCATCACACCAGACACTGAGTGCAGGAGACGCCTAGGAACAAACTAATAACTCAAAAGTGTTGGTGAGCAAGTCAGCACATGGACACTAGGGAGAGACACGGGGGTGGATCCATGGGGCCTGGGAGTCCAGTGAACACTCCTTGGAAAATCTAAACAATGGGAGTGGTCCTCTCCCCATATAGGAATGTGCACAGCCTCCATAACCTTCAGATCTGAGTTCCCCACAACCCCCTGGGAGGCAGAGCAGGGATCCCCATTGTAGGTCAGCTGAGACAAGTGACTTGCCCAAGGACACACTAGAAGTCGGTGACAGAGCTGGGATTTGAACTTAGCTCTTCCAACATCCCAAGCCCCTGGGCTAGCCTTCCTCTCTTTGTGAGGCTCTTTAAACATTAATGTTGTTTTTCTGGTTGGTTTAAATACTCCGACGTTCAAATCTGCCCTTGGGCAGAGGTCTCGCACTAAGCTATCCCGGGGCTAAAGTGTGACTTATGTGAGTAATAGGGTTTGTGCTGGCCTTATGCACAGGGTGAATTTCACCCATCAGGCAGGATGTAAACTGCTTCCCATTCTCTTCCAAGCCACAGCCTTAAGGGAAGGGAGTCTCTCTAGTGGCTAGAGCAGGCACGTAGGAGTCAGGATTCCTGAGTATTATTCCCAGTTCTGCAGCTGATCACTGTGCCTCAGTTTCCCCATCAGCAAAGTGGGGATAACGATACATGCTGACATTGAGATCCTCAGCTGTAACACGCTGTGCAAGCACAGCGGAGTGTCAGTGTTAGTATTTTGATTTTGCAGAATTAAAAGTTTGGGAAAGATACATGGAGTTAGATCATTCATAATTAGGGCCCTATTAAATTCACGGCCATGAAAAATGCGTCACAGTACGTGAAATCTGGTCTCCCACCGTGAAATCTGGTCTTTTGTGTGCTTTTACCCTAGACTATACAGATTTCACGGGGGAGACCAGCCTTTCTCAAATTGGGGATCTTGACCCAAAAGGGAGTTGCAGGGGGGGTCACAAGGCTATTTTAGGGGAGTCATGGTATTGCCACCCTTACTTCTGCACTGATTTCAGAGCTGGGTGGCCAGAGAGCGGCAGCTGTTGGCCGGGTGCCCAGCTCTGAAGGCAGCGTCCTGCCAGCAGCAGCACAGAAGTAAGGGTGGCAATACCACACCATGTCATCCTTACTTCTGCACTGCTGCTGGTGGCGGTTCTGCCTTCAGAGCTGGGCTCCCGGCCAGCAGCCCCCGCTCTCCAGCTGCCCAGCTCTGAAGGCAGTGCCACCACCAGCAGCAGCACAGAAGTGAGGGTAGCAGAACCCCCCCTACAATAACCTTGCGATCCCCCCTTCCCCCCACAACTCCTTTTTGGGTCAGGACCCCTACAATTACAACACTGTGACATTTTAGATTTAAATAGCTGAAACCATGAAATTTATGATTTTTAAAATCCGATGGCCAGGAAATTGACCAAAATGGACTGTGAATTTGGTAGGGCCCTATTTATAATCTTCGGTTTTGTCACTAAAAGATCGTGCTGATGGTAAGTTTGTTAGTGGATCACTTGCAGTGTCTGTGCTTGCTTGACAAAATGTGCATCCTGGCGTGTGCCACATCAATGCCTCTGGAGCTGTTTGCGCATAACTCCTTCCTCTGAAAACCTTTCTCGACGATCTGACCTGATTCTGGCTTCCCAATGGTGATGCTCATTGACGTTTTTATGTTTCTTTTCAGTTCCCTCGATTCTCCAGTTATTTGAATGCACTGTGTGGAGTGTGGTAAGAGGCCGTTTTTTCAACTTTAATAACAGCATTCTGTTCAAGTAACTATAGAAAATGGTGATTTCACAGTACAGTTTATAGCCATGTAGAAGTGGAAAGATCTTTCCAGCATAAGTTCCCTGTTTCAGAATGACTTTGTTGTGCAGACATCTGATCGCATTGTTCCTGAGAAATCGACGTGAATTGTGACATATGTTCTTTCATAGAATCAACAGGGATGGATGAATGGATTGTAAATACTTTTTAACCAGTTGAGAAGTTGCTAGTGCCATCTCTCGGTACAATTGAAAGATTGCAAGTGATCCTTAGAGCAAACATAGAAATTGCTAATATCAGCTGCTGGGAAGAATAGTCCTGTAAACAATTATTGCTGATTTGCATAACATCACAGAAGGGCATGATGGGAGGCGGTATAAACAACTAATAGTTATTACTCTAGGATCTGTGTTAATTACGTCACGTCAAAGTTCCTATTGTGGCTTCATTCTGAATTGATGTGTTAATGTTAAAAGCAGCGGCCATAACACACAACGCAGTCTAGAAAAGATGGGGGTTGAATGGAAGAGAAACTGAGGCAAGGTTGGGTGGGGGGCGGAATTCAACGGAGAGAAAAAAAATTAAATTCTCAAAGCAAAATATAGGGACATTTCTGATTTGAGGCGTGTTTTCTAATTAAAAACCAAGGAATCCACGGGGTAGAAGAGTGTAAAGAAAATGGACCAAATCTTATCCCCGTGTCGCTCTCCCATTGGTGAATACGGCCACACCGGTTCCTTGTACGGTGTGTGTGTTATCAAGTGCATGGCAGACAGAAGGACAGCTCTGTTGTGTAAATAGGCACACCTCTCTTGACGTCAGTGCAGCCAGGCAGGCACCAGCTCAGGATCTGGCCCAGAATGTCTACTCCAGTGAGGGGAAAACATGGAAACACCCCCCGCCATGACGTCTGGGTGAAAGAGTCTGATAAGGGTTGAAGCTTTCTGTGGCCTAGAAAGACCCTGGCTGAGAATCGGTGAGCAGCGGCTGTGTTCACCTGATCCGTCTCAATGACACTTTCAGCTCAACAAAGCATTTGCGCACAGGCTTATGTCAATGAGACCGAGGCCTGGTCTATGCTACAGAGTTAGGTTGGCCTAAAATGCTGCTCCCACCGATGTAACGTGCCCACTACACCGACTGAATAGCTCCACCTCCGCGAGAAGCGTAGTGCTTAGGTCGATGCAGTGAGGTCGACCCGGCGTCAGTGTAGACGCTGCGTTGCTTACATCGACTGGTGCTGCCTTTCAGAAGCCGTCCCACAATGCCCCACACCGACAGTGAAATCGGTGCAAGTGCAACTCCTGGTGAAAATGCGCGCCGCCGACGCAAGAAGCAGAGTGTGGACGTGCAAAAGCAATTCAGTGACTGCGGTGGCTGTACATCAACGTAACTTAGGCTATGTCGCCACTAGCACTTTTGTCAGTCACGGGTGTGATAAAAACCAATCCCCTGACTGACAGAAGTTTCACCGACAGAAGCACCAGTGTCTCTAGTGTAGACATAGCCTTAGGTAGACTTAATTGTGTAGTGTGGACTTGCCCTGAAGCACATGCTTGAAGTTCAATGTGCATAGGTGCTTTGCCAGATAGAGATCCTAGACTCAGGGTCTGAGTTGAAGAGCAAAATATGTAAGCAGATCCCCATGCATGTAGACTCCTGCTCCTATATGGATCCCTTCTGCTTTCACTGCCGCTCTGGGCAGGCTATGAGCTCCTTGCAGGATCGGGGCCCTGGTGGTGATGAGTGATGATTTTAAAATTGTAGCCCTGCAATGTCGATGTGCTACTGAGTTTCCTGGAAATTAAAGGACCCAATAGATTTCCGCAGGAGCTACACAGTTCTGATCCAGAGCCACATTTTTTTATCCCCTTCAAATTTCAGGGCTATCTGAATCAAGGGTTTTGGTTCAGGCCATTGCAGAAACAGGGGCCAGCTATGAAATTTGGACCCCAGTTATTCTCCTGGGCCCATTCCAAATTCCCACATATTTGAAGTGTGTTTTGTGTTAAAAGAGAGTTATGTTGCCTGGCGTATCTAGAGGGGGGTGTCAGTGTGTTAGAAACCAGATGGCGACTGCATTGTGCTGTATCGATATTTCATCCATTCACACACCACCCATATGGAGACACTGTGTCCGAATCTGGTAGTGAACCAGTCACCTGCCCGCTCAATAATCTCTGTCATTTTCTTCTGTCCGGCTAATTTTAGGTCGCCGAAAGAATTCTCGGAGCTGCATGCTGCATTGATGGTAATGTGACTTTTTCAATACCAAAGATAAAAAGCCACTGTTAACCAGACGTATTCCTGAGGAAATGAACTATTGCCCCAGTCTCATAGCGGCCATTTAGTTCACAAACACAATCAGTTGCACTGTCATCAGCTGATACAACCTTTAAACCTCCTGGTCCCAAAATCCCGTAAGCTCTTCACCCTACCATGCAACAGCACCCACTGGGAGACATGCAAACTCAGCTCTTCCGGATTGGACATCTAGGTTTCTGCTAGCATCTTCCATACCACCAAAGATTTGGCATGCAGTCCCAGCACCGTGGAACATTAGCAGGAAATTACCAGCCATTTATATTGGAGAGGGAATTTTCTGTGAATATTGTAACTGTTTACCATGCCTAGCCTAGTGGTAGCTGAATATTTGTGCTGTGCTCATGCTATGTGTTTACTGTCCACAAATATTCTAGTAAACAAGCTATTCTAGTGCACGTGCAGGTCAAAAGTAAATGTTATGCACAAATAGTCAGTGACCGTGAATCTCGAATTGCAGAACTAGAACCAGCCACAAAGCAAACTTTGCAGCTCAGAGAACTGTCCCCTCAAATATGCAATTTGAAATTTGTGCTGCTGGTAGTTAGGCCCTGCACACAAGTCATCTAATCTAGGAACAGAAATCATCACAGGTGACCGATCAACCTGACAGGTCTTTGATCAACTGATCAAAGGAGGGAATTCAAACATTCCCAATAAGCTATTTGCAAAGAATCTGCAGACTTATGCATTGGAGAAATTGGTAAATACGTGTGGCATAAGGAATATAAAAGAGAATTTTCCAGACTGTTTGCAGAGGGTGAAACTCATACCATGCCATGCAGAGGAGCCAGCACAAACCTCATTGACTAAGGGTTTCATAGGAGTTGTTCTGACCCTCCATACAGGGGTCAATTCCACCCATTATTTTCTCCAAATAACTCACCCAGATCACCTCGTGGGGCCTTAATATTTATAAAGCACAATCAGATCCACAGAGGAAAAGCCAAGTGTTATAATTCCATCCTACAAATTGGGGAAATCCTGGTGCTGCCTTGTTCTAGATATACCGACGGGAATTCCTCTCCAGATGGAGAAACCTGGATCTGGATGTCATCCTGTGTCCTGTGTTAGGCCCTGCCTTCACCCTGGGGTATCCTGGGAGACTCATTGGTAAGTTGCAGTGCTAGAAGGAACTGGCCTAAGGCATCCTGCAAAAATTGAACCAAACTGAACCTCTTTGGTGGGTCAGGAACCTTGGATTAACTCGTTCTCCCCTCTCCCCAGTTTTTGCCTGCATCTGAAAACTGTTCAAGCCATTAAATCTGAGTCTGGTTGGGTGTCTTCAGATCCAGGCCATTGTATAAAGAGAGAGGCTGTTTAGATCCCCAAATTGGGGAGAAATGGGTTCTGTGTTTGACGTGAATCAATTCTGATTTCTCTCACTGATTTTGCAGTCAGGATCCTAGACCACTGGTTAGGTTCTTCCTCCCAGGGAACTCCAGATTTTATATTGTAATAGGATGGATGGTTGCTGTCAGGAAGTTCCAGGGGGCTGACAGCCATGCAGTCCCTGTTGGCTACAGATTTGATATACTGATATCAGAAGTAAGATTTGAACTCCCCAGAATGCTAGATGCTCAAGGTGCCGCTGTTAAATTAGCTAGTGTAGATGTGTGTCACTGCCTTGTCCTGGAGGCAGTGAGAATTGGGTACTTGTGTAACATAGGCCCTGCACTGCTAACAGCTGAGAGTGATCCTCCTTTGGCTCAAGTGGCAGGTGTCTCTGCTTTTGGAGCAGGAGGAGCTGAGTTCTAGCCCTGCTGCTGCCAGGATAATCCTAGTGTGCAGTCACAGAGTCCTATATGGCCCCGGATTTATTACCATATTCTGTGCATCACATTTCCAGCTGCTGTTTCCTCTACCATGTTGTACAACGTCTTAAACTTCCCCGCGGGGGTTGTGCCGGTCACCACCGTTACGGAGGCTGATGAGGAAAATCTGAAGCATTACACAGGGCACTACGGTGACCCCTGGGATAGGAGACTGAGGCAGGTCAGTGATGAATCCCCATTGTTTTCTGGCATAGGCAGGTTAGGGTTTGGGGCAGCACGGCCTTCTTTCGACAGAGCTTGCTATATCTCATCCTAGCAAACTGTCCAGGCCAGATGCAGATTTCACAGGTGAATGATTCCCTAGATCCATAGAGTCTACATGTTTCAGAGCAAGGGTGACTGTCCACCCTGGCGTGTATATAACAATCTATTATAACGACCAGGCTAGTGTGTATTTGTGCACCATTGCCCTCTACTGAATGGAATCAGAACTGCTCCATGGTGTGTCATTGGCTCTATATTGTTCATGGCGATTTTCCTTTAGCTCAAGCCGCAGGGAGCTATGTTTCTGGAGTAGGAAGATCGGAGTCCTGGCCTTGAGGTTGCGATGGAGTTCCGAGCGGCCACGGCGTACAGTATAGTGACAGCCGGGGGATGTCTTAGGTGGCCATAGATGGTTCTAATATCCACAGACATGGATGCTGTCATACCGATCCCAACGAAGGGGCTTGTAGCAAGGCCCTGACTCACCGGCACGGTGCCTCCTGCTGGGCATCTGGGAATTAGCTCTCTCAGCCCTGGAGTGCCCTCCTATGGGCCGGTGTCTCACCCTCTGTTACATACCCCTCTCCAGTCCCTTTATCTCCACCGCGTATAGGCCCCACGTCCCTCCCGGACCACGGTGCCTCTTACCTTGGGGTGCTGCCCCTCACCCAGGGAACCCCACTCCCCTGAGCCCACCTTGCCTCAGTGGCCCACTGCTAGTCCTCATCTAGCCCCTTTACTCAGGGGCAAACGGCAGTCTGCAATGGCCACTCATCACTGGCTAGGGGGCTGGACCTGCTGCCTTTCCCTGCAGCCACAGTACTTCCTTAGGCCTCCCTGTCAGGCCTCAGCCTGGGAGGTCACCAGGCCTGAGCTCCCCAGCGCAGCCTGCCCTTTCTCCAGCACTACTCTGTTGAAGATACCCTGTGCTCCTAGGCAGCCCTGTCCTTCCCACCCCAAGGCTGGAGTGAGACTTCCCGCCTCCTAGCTCACAGGCCTTTTTATACCAGCCCTACCGGGCCCAGATTGGCTGCTACCTGCCTTCGCCTGATTGGTTCCTCGGGGCAGCCCTTTCCCAGAGCTGGTATTAACCCCTTTCTCTCCGGAGCGGGGTGCTTGCCCCGCTATAGGGCTACTGAAAGATCACAGGGTGGTTGCTTTCTAGTTTATTGTCCCCTTGCGGGTTGGGGGTGTTGTACAGTAGACTTTGTCTCTCTCTTTGGTAGATAGGGCCCAATTCTGCTCTGCAGAGCAGAGAGGCTACCCACTAGATCCACTGCTACAGGGTCCCTGCTGGGCCAGGGAAAATTTCCCCGGGGTGGGCCAGGCCACTGTATCCTGGAGAGCACTCTAGTGGATGACCACCTGTGCACAGCCAGGCCCACTAGCTCATGGCTAGCTTTGCAGCTGCTGGCAAAATAACCTGCCACCCAACTCCCCTGGGGAACGTGGGTCATGGCCTAACGTATTGCCAGCCGCACTCTTGGCCACAGCGCAGTCAGCGGGTGTGATGGCAACGCGTGTAGCTATACCCAAGGGAGCTTTCCTTGAGCTAGCTCAGGCCCGGGAGCAGTGAAGCCATGGCAACGGATGCTCCAGCGTGGGATGTACAAGCCGGCCCAGAACCCTGGATAATTACTCGTGTACGCTGCTGCGGCTTCACTGCTCCTGAGCTAGCCAGATTAAAGCTGGCGGGGGTATGTCTGCAGGGGTTACCCTTAGTCCAATCTTGGGTCCTGTGGAAGGATCCTTCCCTTCTTCTTTCATGAAGAGGAGGCTCTATAGCAGGGGTGGCCAACCTGAGCCTGGGAAGGAGCCAGAATTTACCCAATGTGCATTGCCAAAGAGCCACAGTAATACGTCAGCAGGCCCCCATCAGCTCCCCACCCCCGCTCCCAGCACCTCCCACCCACCGGCAGCCCGGCCGATCAGCGCCTTCCCCTCCCTCCCGATCAACTGTTTCGTGGCGTGCAGGAGGCTCTGGGAGGGAGGGGGGAGGAGCAAGGGCATGGCAGGCTGAGGGGAGGGGGCGGGAAGGGGTGGAGTGGGGGCAGAGCCTGTGGCAGAGCCAGGGGTTGAGCAGTGAGCACCCCCCGGCACATTGTAAAGTTGGTGCCTGTAGCTCCAGCCCTGGAGTCGGTGCCTATACAAGGAGCCGCATATTAACTTCTGAAGAGCCGCATGTGGCTCTGGAGCCGCAGGTTGGCCACCCCTGCTCTATAGGTCCTGCTCCCCACAGCAGCACAGGTCCTTTGAGTTTCCCTAATAATATTCCACGGCTTTTCTCTCCTTTGCAGGCTGTGGAAGGAGCCGTGGGGCTGCCCGTGGCGGTGCAATGCGTGGCTCTGCCATGGCAGGAGGAGCTGTGCCTTCGGTTCATGAAGGAGGTGGAGAGACTGGCCCAGGGGCAGAAAAAGCAAACTGAGGATAACTTACAGCGTGGAGGATCCCGGGCTGATGTGGCAAGTGATCTGCAGAATTATGTGCATACAAAGGGGCAAAGTGATGTGCAAGCGCAAGCATCCCGCATGACCGTGCAAACAAACATACTAATGGATGTGCAAAGAACACTAGCTCAAACTGATCTGGTCACTGACGTGCAGACGGATGTTCAAAAAACAGGATCTCAAACTGATTTGTTAGCTGATGTTCAACTGCACGTGCACCCACAGTCCTCTGGCCCTGACGTGCAACCGGACGTGCAAACACAACTAACCCAACCTGACACTGAAACACAGCCATGCCCACCTGAGACGCAAACACAGACTTCCCAACCTGAGGTGCAAACACAACTAACCCAACCTGACGTGCAACCTGAGGTGCAAACACAACTAACCCAACCTGACGTGCAACCTGACGTGGAAACACAACTAACCCAACCTGACGTGCAACCTGATGTGCAAACACAACTAACCCAGCCTGACGTGCAACCTGACGTGCAAACTCAACCAACCCAACCTGATGTGCAAACACAGCCTTCCCAATCTGATGTGCAAACCCAACCAACCCAACCTGACATTGAAACACAACCACCCCACCCTGACGTGCAACCTGATGTGCCAACTGCCTAAGGAACGAGGAGCGCTCTGCCCCCCATTAAAATTCAGCCAGCTCTGGCTCTGGCCGTTGTTTAGCATCACCAACGCACTTTTATTGGGGACCAGAAGTGAAGAACACCACGTGCAGCTGAAAGGAGAATTTGGATCGGCTGATGTAATTACCCACATCTCTGTGAAAAGTGACAGTTTGGTCATGAGAACTACATTTGAACTCCCAAAGTTGGCACCTCCCCCGTAGCACAGCGCCCCCGAGCACAGAACTGGGGCATTTGTTCAACATGGAATCCACAAAGAGAGAAACCGAATAAAACCCGATTTGCAAGTCCTAGAGCCCCTGGGGTTTGTGAACCTGGGGAGGTGGAGGGATTGAATGGCTTCTCTTAATGGCAAATGGCCAAACCTCTCACAACGATCCTCCTCTTCACGGAAGCTTGCAGCACTCAGTGCTTTTAGCGCTCTTAGGAATGGGGCAAGTGAGTCTCTTAAAAAAAGTCAGGCACTGATCACGTTTCTTCTGCCTGGAGGGGTGGGGGTGGGGAGGTTAGTGCTCAGGTGCTAGAGTCCAAGAGCCTCCATGCAAACAGATGGGGAGCAAAAAAAAGCCCCCCCTCCCCCCACACACACACCAAGCCCAGCTTTCACTTGTGTGACCCATGGCAGCCTTTGAATTCAGGGCTCCAGAGGTGAACAGCTGACGGCCAAACCACTTTTCTAACCATTCTGGAGGAAACAAATAGGATAGAAATTGACTCAAAACACGGTGACCAGCTGAGCTCCCAATAGCTTTTCAGACATTAAAAGCCTAATGTGCGGTGCTTCGTTTGTGTCGGAGCTCGCCAGGGCTGAGCCCGAGCACCTCTGGGCCTGGCAGTTCCTATCCCCAGCACCTCTGGGCCAGGCAGCTGAGCGCCCCGGCACCTCTGGGCTTGGCAGTTCCTATCCCCGGCACCTCTGG